TCTGAATTTTGGTATTTGCCAATTTCCATGTTGTAAATACATGTACCATCACCAGTCTCTAGCTACCAACATAATACTACTGAACACAGAGCTGGGATGAGATATCAGATTCTGCACATGACTGAGTATGTGTATGTATGTGTGTACATGAGCTTCTAGACATATACATAGTTACATGTGTTTATACTGTAAACAGAAGATTTCTCTGATACTTGTCAGAGCAAAAACCTGAAAGAGGTGATGAAGCCACCTATGCAGATAAATGGGAAAAGCATTCTTTTTTTCTTTTTTCTTTTGAGACAAAGTCTCACTATGTTGCCCAAGCTGGAATGTACTGGTGCCATCTCCGCTCAGTGCAACCTCTGCCTCCCGGGTTCAACCAATTCTCCTGCCTCAGCCTCCTGAGTAGCTGGGATTACAGGTGTGCACCACCACGCCCAGCTAATTTTTGTATGTTTAGTAGAGACAGGGTTTCACCATGTTTGCCAGGATGGTCTTGAACTCCTGACCTCAGGTGATCCGCCCACCTTGGCCTCCCAAAGTGCTGGGATTACAGGCATGAGCCACCCTGCCTGGCCAAAAAGCACTCTTAGCAGAGAGAATAGTTAGTGCAAACACCTGATGGGTGTGTGAGTATGTTGTGCTGCATGTACTTGAGGTCTGTCTGAAATATCTTAGTCTGTTTGGGGTGATATAACAAAAATAACATAGATTGGGGGGCTTATTGTCTAAGTTAATTTTCTCTTGCAATTACAGAATGCTTAAAACTGGGTAATCTACAAGAAATGAACTTTATTTTTTTTCAATTATGGAGGCCAGGAAGTTAAAGGTGAAGGGGCTGCATCTGGTGAGGGCCTTCTTGCCAGTGGGGGCTTTCTGCAAATTCCTGAGATGGTGCATGGTATCACATCGTGAGGAAGCTGAGCATGCTAATGTGTTAGCTCAGGACTCTCTTCCTCGTCTTATAAAGCCACAGTTCCCGTTCCCCTCCCATGATATCCCATTAATCCATTAACCTATGGAGGGATTAAATCATTCATAAAGACATAACCCTCGGGACCCAATCACTTCCTAAAGGCCTCACCTCTCAATACTGCCACAGTGTGGATTAAGTTTCAGTGTGTTTTAAAGGGAACATTCAAACGATAGCACTTATAAACAACAGAAATTTGTTTTTCACAGTTCTGAAGGATGGAAAGTCTGAGATCATGGTGCCAGCAAAGTCAGGTTCTGGTGAGGGCCCTCTTTTGGGGTTCATAGATGGTGTGCCTTCTAGCTATGTTCCCAGCTGGTGGAAAAGGGAATGCAATCCTCTGGGACCTCTTTTATAAGGAAATTCATCCCATTTATGAGGACTCTGCCCTCCACTCACGACATAATCATCTCCCAAAGCCCTTACCTCTTAATATTAGCATATTGATGATTAGATTTCAAAATATGAATTTTGGGGGGACAAAAATATCTGGACCATTGAATCTATTAAGGAGACTAACACAGTTGGTGGAGAGTGAGTTGCTCCATTGTAGAAGATAAGAAAGTTAATTATATATTTGTAAGTGCATGTGCATTTGTAGAGGGCAGGTAAGGCCTCAGGTCATCATAGGGACTTTGTTTTTGATTTTAAGGGAGACAGGAAACAACTAGTGAAGCCTGAGATGACATAATCTGAATTAAATTTAGCTCTTCTGTTGAGAAAGAATAGAAACAGATTGAGACACTCTCAGGAGGATGTTGCAATAAGCCATGTGAATGATGGTGTCTAGGCCAACTGCAGCAGCAGTGGAAGTGGTGAGATGTGATCAGATACTGCAAGCAGAACTGACAGAATTTGCTGAAAGATTGAATGTGGGGTGAGATAAAGAGAGGGACTAAGGCAGATTCCAAGATTTTGGCTTAAGTAATTGGAAGGTTGGAAGTTCTAGCAGATAAGATAAGTAAGAGAGTGGGAGAAACATGTTTGGGGAGCAAGGGCAGATCAAGGCCTAATTTTTGACATGGTGTTAAGATGACTTTTAGAATTCTAGTCCATCAGATGAATGGATATACATGCCTGAAGTTTAGGGGAGAATCAGCTGGAGATGTAAATTTGGTATTTAAAGCCATTATACTGGACAAGATCACATGGGGTATGAATATAGATAGAGGAGAAATCTCAGGACGTGGTCATGGGGTACTCTAAAATTTAGAGATCAAAAAGAAAAGGAAGAACCAGAAAAGGAGACTGAGGTGCTATCAAGTACAAAGAAAAACAGAAGAGAATCATATCCAATTAAATATATTGCTTTATGGAAGGAAAAATCATGAAACTCAACAAATACTTCTGATAAGACGAATAAACTGAAGCCTGAAAATTGGCCATAGGACTTGCAAGTATGATGCTATTGGTCATGTTGACCAAAACAATTTTGGTGAAGAGATAGGTAGAAAAGTCTGATTGTACTGGCTTCAACAGAGAATGAGAGGACAGTATTTGGAGACATTGAATTTAGCCAACTGTTTCTAGTTTTGTTTTGTTTTGTAGAAGGACAACAGCAAAAGGTAAGGTTAAGAGAGGGTTTTCAAAAACCTGGAGATATTATAAACTGTGTGGATGCTGAGGGAAAAAATTGGCAAAGAAGGAAAATTCATGAAGCAGAGGAGCAAGGAGAATTGCTACAGAAATGTCCTTAAGAAAGGGGAAGGGGCTTGATCTTGGGCACAAGTGGAGTAGTTGGCATCTCATCCATGGGAGCAGGTGGAGACGGATGGGAAGATAGGGTGGTGAAAGCATACAGAAAGTCTCCATGGATTTTTTAACATTTTATTTTGTTGTTGAAGCAATGTCATCACTGGAGATTGAGAATGGGGTAGGTAAGAAAGAATAGAAGGCATGACATAGCTGTTTAAGAGAATGAGTAAATGAATGAATGGCTTTAGGAAATATCAAAGGATTGTTGCAGTACTTAGAGCCCACATGAGTGGTCATGAATTTGAATTGAGATCACATATATACCTGTGAGTGTTTTTTTCCTAAGCCAATATTAATACACAGATGCAAGTGTTGAATAGATTGAGATTTTAACTTAAGCAGAGTTGGAATGTTGCCAGATTAGTATGAGGATAAAAGAGAATGGCTAGAAAGTTGTGGAGAAATACAGGGGAGTATTATTATGATCAATGCACAATGGGCTACAGGAGGGAAGATAAGGCATAGAGTGGGGTGGCAGGGCTGTGGGGTGTGGTGAGAGGAACTGGAAAAGATAGGACAGTAGTCCCAGTAGCATCGAAGAATTGTTGGAGGGAGTAAGTTCAAAAGATAGAAGATACGGTTGAAGAGAGACAACTAAATTGAAAGTGCCAGATCAAACCGAAGGTAAGGTATTTAGTAATGACACCACCTAGGGTATGACCACAGGCGTGAATAACTCAAGGGTGTAGGAGAAGATGATCGGCAGAGAGGAGGTCTTAGAAATGGGAGGTCAGATAGCAGAATGATCATTTGTGTGGATGAGATCACAATAATATAATATTGAGATCTCAATAGAGATAGTATTAGAGATAATTATAATTAAAATCACAGCGGATCTCAAAGATTGGTCCGCAGACTAGCAAATGCCAATGTCCCTGACTTGTTAGAATTGCAAATTTTTGAGTATCCCCTAGATCTAGTGAATGAGAAACTCTGGGAGCCGGGCCCCGCAAAGAGTAGTTTAACAAGTCCCCTAGGTGATTTTGATGCACATTAAGGTTTGATAACTATTAATACTTCTATAGTAGGACAGATGATAGATAAATTAACAGCTTGAAGAAGTAACAAAAAGTTCAATAAGTTAGCATTAAACTACACCTGAAAGTTGTTGCAAGGTTAAGTGAGAGGAACCTTAAAGGGAGCAGCATTTGTAAAGAAAAGCTAGAATCATGAAAAGACCTAACGTAAGATCAAATGAAATTATGTAGAAGTGTAAAATTCTTAACTGTTAGTATCTGAAAATCATGCATTCCTTGCTAGGAAGGCATTGCATTAGTGCTTTAGGAATCCTGATAAAACGTCACAAACTTCTGTTCATTGGTATTAGGGACAGAATAGAGTGAGTGCTTGAAGAACTGCCTTGACTTACCAATCTATCTCTCCACAACTTCCAATCATCTCTAGGGCACCTAGCAGAAATAGTTTCACAGAGCAAAAGTTATAATACAGAATGTGATGAAAGGAGGAGGCCGACTCTTAATGACGTCAGGTATTCCCGGGACCCGCCCACCGTGGGCGTTTTCCACCTACAGCCAGGCGCCTCCGGGGGCGGGGTTTGCTCAGGGTTGACGTCACTACTGAGCGACGGGCGCGTTCCGTTGGCGGTGGATTCGAAAGTTCTGACCCGGGTTTCTCTGCCTGAAGAAGCGTAAGAGGGACCGGATTGTTATCGCTGGCCCAGTGTCCCCGGAGTTTGTGTGCGATACAGAGAGCACCTCGGAAGCTGAGGCAGCTGGTACTTGACGGAGAGGATGGCGCTGTCGACCATAGTCTCCCAGAAGAAGCAGATAAAGCGGAAGGCTCCCCGTGGCTTTCTAAAGCGAGTCTTTAAGCGACAGAAGCCTCAACTTCGTCTGGAGAAAAGTGGTGACTTACTGGTGAGATTCCATCCCTTCTCGGGCTGGGAATGGGGCACGGGAGAGGTAAGGGCAATAACCTCCAGCCTTTGTTTTTCCGCCCCGAGCCAATTTATAGCTCTTTCAGGCCCATGTTTAAGGCAGTTCCAGCAATGACAGGTTATGTATGCCCTACCCTGGCATGTCAGTTCATATTCCTGGAGCTCAGTTGTACCGGGCCGCGCCGAAACGTAAATATCTGGATCTTCTTAAAGGGAGGCTCTTAGTCACGTGAGCTTAACGTACAGTTACTGCTTACAGTTTTTAAATATTGCTGTTTAGGGACACAATCTGGCACCGTGATTAATGTACTTGCAAAGGGTATGAAAGATTCACCCTTTAAAAAATAGATTTTGGAATTCAGTCTGTGCCATTTTTATTTAGCTATTGTAAAAGGCATTGCTCACATGCCTTTTAAGGGCCTCCCTTCTTGCCTCCCTCCCTTGCCTCCCTCCGTCTCTCCTCTATTTACGCATTTAAACAAACATGTTGCCCTATTTCCTCTAGGTTAGGATGCTTACTAAAGGACCCTGATGGGAAAGTTTATTTGTAGGAATAATGCTCTCAACTGTTAATTCATTTTGCTAGACAAATAATAGAACACCTAGTCAGTTTTTAAGCTAGACTATTAAAGCCTGCTTATCTGACTCATAATACTTGAAGCATAATATTCTCCTAATAAGAAGCCACAATCAACCCACTGTATAATAATGTTTCTGTCTTGAAATAAATTCAGTTTGTGTGTTGAATGCTTGGAACACATATTCCTCTGGCACAATGAACGCTGTTTCTCTAGGTTTAAACCACAGGAGGCATGTTCGGTATCTTGTCCTTGGCTCTTTGAGTAAAGGAGCCATTACAAATGGACACATAATTTCCAGGAGATCAAGGTACAGAATTGTGGATAATAAGAGCATACTGCATGAATAGTCTTGGGAATGCATCATCCTAGCTGTTCTTAAACGACATTGGTTTTTCTACCTCCTCTTTACTCTTTTACTTCCCGGAGTTCTCCACTGCTACTGTATCTGTTTCTTCCTTTTTGCTAACCTGCTATAGAATTATCACCACTTTTCTCCATATTTGGTCTCTGAAGCCAAAACACAACAAAAACACAACCAAAACACATTTTCCCCCAGAAAAGTATTACTTCAATCTTCTGCCCTTCTTTTTTGTTACTTTCTTAAATCCTGTGAGAAGAGGCAATACAGGCTGTCTTGTGCTTCGACCCCAATTAACTACCCCATGCTGGTGATAGAGGTGGCACAAATGAACGGAATTAAAATAAAATTCACTTGCAAAACATTTTTACGTAGTATATTATGGAGCTTTCACTGGGGCTTCTAAATGGAGGGAGAGGAAATGTACCTGATCAAAGATATCCAGGAAACTACGAACTGGTGCAAATTGCTTAGTCGAAATTCTCAAGTAGTTAGCATCCTCCCACATCTACCCCTTTCTTCCTCCGAAGAACCCATGGACAGAGGAGCTCCATAGTGCGGTGGGATCCAGGTGGCATGGGAAAGTGGGTGAGTTGAAATTTCAAGCGGTTGCATTGATGGGGTATAGAATGTTCTTTTGGTCACTAGCTTTTCCCAGGTAGTATGCTTGTCGTCTTTGGCTTTCATTAAACAGTTCCCCTTCACTGTCTGGTATATGGCATGGTTTATAGCTTTCTGCTCACCTTTGACACTTCATAATCTTACCCAGTTCAATGAGTTATCAGAAAGTTCAATGAGTTAGCATTAAACTACACCTGAAAGTTATTCCAAGGTTAAGTGAGAGGAACCTTAAAATTAAAGGGAGCAGCATTTGTAAAGAAAAGCTAGAATCATGAAAAGACCTAAGGTAAGATCAAATGAGATTATGTGGAAGTGTAATTCACTTGCATCCCACATCATCCACAAAGTTTTCTGTAGTTAAGGCAGTTAGTTTTGATCGGTTCTTTTTTCTGAACTTGGACAGCAGTAAGAGTATACATCATACAATTGAGCTGCTGGGACTCTTAACACTGTTGTCTAGGAGTTTCATATGTTGATGCCTCCTAGTGCGGTATGCAGCTTCTTGAGGAGAGTGAGTAGCTCCTTTTTTGTCTCCCATTATCTTTAACACAAAATTAATCTACTTTTATGCTGCATTTGTACATGATGTTTCTTTTGCTTGAAGAAGTCTTCCCTCTACTTGGCAACCTACAATTTTTTCAAAATCCAGTTCATATGTTACTTCAGTGAAGCTTTCCTTAATGTCCTTAGAAAGGATCAATCTTATCCTTCTTTCCATCATCTGTTGTCACACATTTGCCTTTTTCTTTATGGGTTTGATTATCCTACTAGTCTGGGAACTTGAATTTGGAAATTTTTGTATTCCTGGTGTTTTGCATAATAGCTTCAACATTCTGAGTCTACAATTAATTTTGTAAATGCAACTGTATGTGGATTGATGTTATTTCTATCATTTTATTTATAATTTCTTTGTATTATTTTATCATTCTTCACTAGCTTTTTGTTATTTTGTTTGTTTTATGCCTTATTTGATTGTTTAGCCCTAGGGATGATACTAGGGAGAGAGTTAACATGTTAAATGTAAAGAAATGCTGTGCAAATATCTGGGTACTTATAGTTCATGTAAAATTCAAAAGTGCTGTGACAAAGGGAGGAGGAAGTCAGACTGGCCCAGTCTTTCTGTCAACTGAGACTGTAATAAGTATTTCTTTATAAATTTTCCTTTGATTTATTTTTAAGCAAGCGGATTTTTAAAAGTAACTTACTGATGGAATAGCTTACCTTTTTCAAGTTAGAATGCCTAGCTAATACCCTAAAACTAACTTTTGTTCTGACCATTTTAATATAAACCTTAGTGCATTGGAGTAAGGTTGCTTGAAAGCATATAGGTTACTTGAAAAAATTTCTGTGAGATCTGAAAAAGTAATACTAATTTGTCTCAGTATCTATATTAGGGTTCGCTAGAGGGACAGAACTAATAGGATAGATATATATATGAAGTGGAGTTTATTAAGGAGTATTGACTCACACAGTCACAAGGTGAAGTCCCACAATAGGCCATCTGCAAGCTGAGGAGCAAGGAAGCCAGTTCCAGTCCCAGTCCCAAAACCTCAAAAGTAGGGAAGCCGACAATGCAGCCTTCACTCTGTGGCTGAAGGCCCTAGAGCCACTGGTAAATAAGTGGTGTAAGTCCAAGAGTCCAAAAGCTGAAGAACTTGTAGTCTGATGTTCAAAGGCAGGAAGCATCCAGCACGGGAGAAAGATGAAGGCTGGAAGACTCAGCAAGTCAAGTACTTTCACATTCTTCTGCCTGCTTTATTCTAGCCATGCTGGCAGCTGATTAGATGGTGCCCACCCAGATTGAGGGTGGGTCTGCCCAGTCCACTGACTCCAATATTATTTTCCTTTGGCAACACCCTTACAGACACACCCAGGAACAATACTTTTCATCCTTCAGTCAAGTTGACACTCAGTATTAACCATCACAATATCCATGGCTCATGACCATGAAGAGGAAAGGGTATTCCATCTAGGTTAGTGAATTAAGTCTTAAGACAGTGTGGTTTAATCAAATCTGATTTTTAAAAAAACTTTTTTTTGCCTTATTTGGGGAGATGTGGTGGGGTCTTCATGCAATAATAATTATTAGCTACCTACTATGTATTAAAAAATATGTTAAGGGACACTGGGGATAGAGTGTTGAAAAGGCTAGGCATAATTCGTGTCCTTAGAGTACACTGAGGAAGACAGCTAAGTGAGAAATTACAGCATGATGTAGTCTATGCAGTGATAGGAAGTTCAGAGTGCTGTGGATCAATATAACCTTACATCTTGGGGGAAGCTGGACTTTTCAGAGAAGTCTATAAACAAGTAGGATGCCTAGAGGCAAGGTTGCATTTGAATTCTCAAAGAAATTCAAAAGGCCTAGTGTAGAACTGGAAGCTTAGAACAGTGAGAGGTGAAACTAGAACCCCAGTCAAGTGGGATTTAGTGTTAAGGAATTTGGAATTTATGCTGAGGGTATCTGGAAGCTATTTACCTTTAGAAGTACAAAGTATAGATTAACAAATGAAATTGTGCCATATTATGGGGTGTTTTTGCTACCAAAATAAATGGGCTATCATTGAAAGTTTAAAAAATAATTGGCACAGTATAATGTAAATAATTGGTATTGGGTTGCTTTACCTCGGAGTTCTTGTGAGAATCAAAGAAGATAGTGCATCAAAAATGTACCAAAAGAGTATCCACCTTTTATAGATTGTTCATCTTGTTTAAATTCCCAAACCTCTGTTTTCTCCACATATCACTAGAACATTATTAAACACCTATATAACAATCTATTAAAGATTTCTGCATTATAGAAAGCATTAAAACACCATATTACTAGTTATTTAACATTTGATGAACTGTGGGAGAGTGTTCAGTACACAAGATAGTGAATATTAAGTATTGTGTATAAATTGTTCTTCTAACTGCAAAGATCACTTGCCATGATGTAAATAACAAAATAAATCAAGTTAAAGACACTATCTAATTGGATCTAAGTTGGTAGTGCCCTCAGGTACCTGGCAGAAGCAAAGGATGGGGAAGATATGTCCAATAATATAAATAAGAGTACTACATATGATCCTAGATTGGAGACTGAGATACAACTTTAGCTCACTTCACATTGTCTTCTGCTTGGATTACATGTACTTTAACTTTTTTCCAAAGAATGTGCTTGTAGATTAGGACTTTTGTTGCTTTGGATGGTGATTTTGAGTAAAATACTTAACAAAATGTTATTTTATATGACATATCAGCGCTTGTTTATACATATATGTAATCAGATAATATTGATATATTATCTGATGATGAGTACATATGTTTTGCTTATGTAGAGCTTGTTTCTGTAAGAATGTACAAGAAAGTGTCAGCAGTGGTTGATTGGGGGATGAGATGGGGAATAGACTTATTTTTGATAGTCTATCCTTTCATAAACTTTGTTGTTTTATATTTTTAAAATAATTATAGACTCAAAAGAAGGTGCAAAAATAGTACACAGTTTCCATGTATCCTTTACCCAGCTTTCCACAGTTCTCATATCTTACATAACTATAGTTTTTTTATAGACTTTTAAATTTTTCAGTCTGCTTATATTACCTACTTTAAATAATTTTTTAAAAGAGGCTTGAAGGTTATTAATAGTAAGTATGGTTATTTTATGATAGTTGTTGGATGACAAATAACTTGACCTTTGTGCATACACTTTTCAATTTAGCAGACTTAAACAATTTCAACTATTAACATGTTTTTAAACAAATACTTCAAATAAAATATATCTGTTTAAAAATCTTTGACCTCAGATTGTAGAATAATAACCTGAAATGTAGTTGTTGGTATGTTTTGATTTAAAAATTTCTGGAAATTTTAAATTATGTTATAAATTAAAATCCATTTGGAATCAGAAGCAGGAATATTTGTTACTAAGTGAATCTTACATACATTTTGATATGTAATGATGCTTTACAAAATGGCCTTTGGTCTGCCTTGCATAGCTTGTTTTATGTATTGCAGTGACCACGTCTCTCTGCAGGGAATCTAAGAGGGACTGAATTCTATGTAATTTTAAATAGACTTAATTTACTTAATCACAATGGTAAATAGTATAACAATACATTTTGAGATAATTAATTTTTAAAAATCATTATTTCAGTGCATCAGTATTTGAACTTAAAAATCCACTTGGATTTTCTGTTTTAAAGGTCCATCTGAACTGCTTACTGTTTGTTCATCGATTAGCAGAAGAGTCCAGGACAAATGCTTGTGAGAGTAAGTGTAGAGTCATTAACAAGGAGCATGTACTGGCTGCAGCAAAGGTAAAATCCAGATTTCTTTTCTTGAGCAAGAATTAAACTTCAAAATTACCACTCGTTTCATCACCTCTCCCTGATTTGTATACCTTACTCAGCTTTGTTGATTGAGTCGATATTTGGCCTTTTATGAGTTAATTATTTTAATTAAGGAGTTAGATTTCCTCCATATGTATATTATTGATTTCCAATGGTAATATTAATGGCCACTGCTTTAGAGGAAACATTCATGTTCCTACAGACTGCTAATCTGTAGACGGAGAAGATATATCACCTTGAAATTTATCAAAACTTACTTTCTTCTTGATCGTTTAAAATTATCCTAATTACCTCATTGTATTAGTCCATTTTCACACTGCTATAAAGAAATACCCAAGACTCGGTTATTTATGAAGGAAAGAGAATTCACTCACTATCAGAAGAACAGCATGGGGGAAACCACCCCCACGATCCAATCACTTCCCTTTCTCGACATGAAGGGATTACAATTCGAGATGAGATTTTGGTGGGGACACAAAGCCAAACCATATCACTATTTGATTTCTTTTAACTTTGTTTTGGCAGAGGTTGCAGTGTGCCGAGATGGCACCATTGCACTCTAGCCTGGGCAACAAGAGCAAAAGTGCATCTCAAAAAAAAAGAAAAAAAATATATACAAGTAGAGATGATTGCTTTTTACTGTTATTTTTATGTAATGTTAAGAATATGTTGTCTACGGCGCAATTTTCCAGATATGTTCCTGAAAATGTTATTTCCAAATGATGTTAATCAAGGCCCTACCTTAAATGCTTCTGTGGTCAAATAAGTGTAGATAACCTGGCATACTGTACTTCCTTGATTAGTCACAGTATTATTGTAGAACTTGTTTCTATAAGAATATGTAAGAAACTGGCAACCACAGTTGACTGGGGATGATAGAGGAGAGAAACTTATTTTTGACAGTCTACCTTTTTGTAGACGTTTTTGTTTTAAATTTATTTTAAAATAAGAAGGCACAAAAAATAGTTTAGAGTTCCCATGCACCCTGTGTCCAGTTTCTCATAATCCTAATGTCTTATATAACTATAGTTTTATAAAGTTATGAAAGGCCAAGAGAGAAATACAGCAGTAAGGAAACCTGTTGAACTCCGTTTAGTATTTTGTAAGCTTATTTGAGTACATAATATACTCAGCATTTTGTAAATTCATTTGACTATTCAAACTTTCTTTTGAAGTACACATGATATTATCTTGTAGAACAGAGAAGTACTAACCTAGACAGAGATTTATTTGATGGTCTTGTGGAAGTCTAGAAGTGTGCATATCTTGGCATTTTCTAGGGATTTTAAATTATCTTGCAATTATAAACATTTCGACAAATTTCTAGACTGTTAAAGTCAATGTAAATATTTTTCTGCAGGAAAAACAAGGCTTAAGATATTGAAGAATATACACGTATTTTTTAAATTTAGGATTTGTATTAATAAACTGTAGGTTTATTTACTTAAAATCGTAGATAAGTTTTTTTTTTTTTCAAAACAGATATTCTGACTAATGCTGTCAGTCTTTTTACAACTAAAAATCTCCTTTTTTTAAAAATTTGTACCACAGACTATATATTTTAAAAATAATCTACTTAACAAGTTGTTCAGCATAAGATGACTAGTTTTAGTCTCAAATGATTATAATTCCAGTCCAAATATAATAAATTTAATGTTGCAGTGGATTTGTCCTACTTTATAGTTGTGAAATGTCTGATTTATAATAGACTTTTTGAGCTTTAGAATATTGTTTAACTCCTTAACTGGTATTATGTAACTCTTAATTTAGATAACTAAATTGTATAAAAATTTCAAGTTCGAAACCATTAATCTGAACACTTTTGGCTTACAGTGGAAGAAATTAACATCAAGAGGTAACTAATAAAGCCAGGTTTTTAGAATCTAGGCATGTTTCATATTCATTGAGATAAGACTATTTTTAGAGAAATCTAAGACTATAAGACAAAAGATTCCCTAATCATCTTCCAAATTCGGTTTTATAAAGTCAGTCTTGCATACTATGCACCCAGGACTATTTAACTTTTTGTTAAGGAATGATGTTTTTTTCATAGATATTATATTAATCTTATTTTTTCCCCTCTTACAGGTAATTCTAAAGAAGAGCAGAGGTTAGAAGTCAAAGAACATATTCTTGAAAGTTATTATGATGCCTTCTTTTGGGCGGTAACAGATCATAAAGACTTTTTTACACATCAATTAATTTGGGATTATTAAATATTGGCTATAAGTGATGTGTGTGTTCGTATTTTTTTTCTGGCATGAAATATCTCAAGTAAATGCATAGGACTATTTAACTCTTTTATGGAAATTACTATTGTTTTTATTTTAAATGTCCTCTAGTTCAGTTTGCTTTTGTTTTATTGCTATTATAAATATTTTATGTATCAAAAATGAAATCTTAACTATATTAAATACTTTAAAAATGTACTTCTTAGAATTACGTTTATATATTTAGATTTAGCCACAGTTAACTATGGAATTTAATCTCTGAAGAAAGACAAATACAGTCAAATCTAGGTGCACTTTCAATATTTTAACTTTTAATGTATTTGCAAAGCAAAGCAATCTACTTTTACATTATGCCGGTAGTAATGTTATAATTTCTCAACTGGACAATGATAAACATCAGGTAGGTTTTTCAAAACCTCTCTCCCTCCCAAAATCAAAATAATAGACATTATGGAGCAAATGACTTATTTTCTTCAGGTCTCATGGATTTAATAGATAATTTTTTCCCCTAAATAAGATAATTTAGAAATTTATTGTATATCATCAAATAGTTATTACTTTTAACTTGTTATTTAGAAATAATTATAGATTTCAACATGTAGTTGCAAAGATAGTACAGAGAAGTCCCATGTACGGTACACCCAGTTCCCCCAGTGGTTACATACTACGTGACTATAGTATAATATCAAAACCAGGAATTTCATATAGGTACAGTGTACATGTGGTTCTGTTGCCATTTTATGGTGTAGATTTGTTTAACCACTACTGTAATTAGAAATGTTTCATTACCAAAAAGATCTCCTTGTGCTATCCTTTTACAATTACACCTTCTTTAAAATGTGTCCTACCCTAGCACCATTCCTAAACCCTGGCAACCATGAACTCTTCTCCGTCTATAGTCTATATTTTTGTCATTTTGAGAATATCATATGAATGGAATAATACAGGAAGTGACCTTTGGGCATTGGATTTTTTTCTTAAGTTGTTACATGTATCAGTAGTTTGTTCCATTTTATTACTGAGTAGTATTCTGTAGTATGGAAGTACCACAGTTTGCATAACTATTCACTTAAATTGAGGGGCATTTTGGTTACTTACAGTTTTGGTTATTACAAATTGTTGTGAAGGGTCATCTGCAGGATTTTATATGGACATAAATTTTAATTTCCCTGGGAGAAATGCCTGGGAGTTTTATTCTGAGTTCATGGTAAGTATAGGCCTCGTTTTTATTTATTTTTATTTTTTTAAGAGACTGGATCTTGCTGTGTCGCTTAATCTGGAGTGCGGTGGTGTGATCATAACTCATTGCAGTCTCAAACTCCTGGGCTCAAGTTATCCTCCTGCTTTAGCCTCCCGAGTAGCAGGGATCACAGGTGCAACTTGCTGTGCTCAGTTGGCTCAGGTTTAATTTTTTCAAAAGAAATGGCCAAATGATTTTCCAGGGTGGCTGTACCATTTTACATTTCCATTAGCAGTGTATGAGAAATCCACTTTCTTAATATTCTCACAAATATTTGGTAATGCTACTATTTTTTAGTTTAGCTGTTCTGACAAGAATATGTAGAATTGTGGTTTTAATTTGCATTTTCCTGATGACTGATGTCTTAGTTTAGGCTGCTATAGTGAAATACCATGCACTGAATAGCTTATAGATAACATAAATTTTTTTCTCACAGTGTTGGTGGGCCGAAAGTCTGAGATCGTGGTGCCAGCATGGTCAGGTTCTGGTGAGGGTCCTCTTCTGAATTTCAGACTGCTAACTTCTCATTCTATCCTCACATGGAGGAAAGAAGGCCAGAGAGCTCTCTGCCTCTTTTTAAAGGACAGTAATCTCATTTATGAGGACTTTATTCTCATGACCTAATTACCTCCCAAAGGTCGTACCTCCTAATACCATCACACCGGTAATTAGATTTCAACATAAGAATTTTAGGGGACACATTTAGTCCATAATAGCTGATGATGAACTTATTTTCATATGCTTATTTGCCATCTGTATATTGACTTACACATTTTTATACTGTAATGACATCTAAGGGAAAGAATACCTGTGTGGTCAGTCTTGTACAGAAAGCCTCATGGATTCATAGTTCAGCATAATATAGTAATATATATAATATATGTTACTAAATTAGTAATTTTTTAAAGCATTAATGTGAAAAAAGTTAAATCTTATTTGTCATGTAAGTATACATGTTTAACATAAAATTATATTCTGAACAAAAATAGTTATAGATAAATAGGACTTCTCAAGAAGTCAAATTTACATTTTTGAAAAATTTGAAAAAAAACACACAACTAGAATATGTAGTTAATGCTAGATAGTTCTGTAAATGTAATTAATATCAAAATGTTATTTTTCCTTTAAGAGCTGGACTAGGGAATTTTGGTTTTAGGGTGGTTAGAACTAATGTGCTCAGAAGTAATGTCTTTTTTTTTTTTTAAATGATGTTTTCCCCATCTTTTCTATCTTTTATATAGTGATAGATCGTCATAATTATGCAGTTAATCCCACCGCCTTGTCCCTGAAACAGGCAAGGTGGAAAGAGGAGAGAGAGAGAGAGAGAGAGAGAGAGAGAGAGAGTGTGTGTGTGTGTGTGTGTGTGTGTGTGTGTATGTAAGTGAAGTAAGATGAGGGAAGTTGGTAGAGTCAGTAGAAGTAGGTGATAGTATCCGTGTGATACCACACAGCCAAAAGCCTCCTTTTGGAGGCTTTCTTGTAGGTAGGAATTTTGCTGTTTTGGTAAAAAATTATAACTCCGGCATTTTCATGTTGGGGAGTTAGAGACTGAACTAAACCAAAGTCAAAATGAGGATAGTAAAAGTGATACGATAAATGTATTGGCTTGTTTTCTATATTGTCTGGGGTGTTTATATGCTACATATGTCCCTACTTGAGTTAGAAAAGATAAAGAGAATCTAGAATGTGGAGTTCATTAGAGGTGGGGAAAGATGTGTTTGTTAGATTAACTGAATGTTGAAGAGAGTGAGACCTTGAACAAGTAATTTAACTGGAGCCTCAGTTTCCCCATGTGTACATTTAGTAACTACTGTTTTTGGCCACATATTTTCCTTTTTGGGAAAATCAGGATGACTTCAGTTTTGACTTCATGATTTTGGGTGATCTATATGTCAACTGTGGGTTTCATTTTTACTTTAAAATCCTCAACCTCATTTTAGGTCTCGATTGCTGAGCATGAGATGGGTATGAGACCTTAAGATGGATATTTAGTTCTTCCTCCTCAGTATTTTAATCTTGACAATCAATATAGTACCTTGTGGCTCTAGATAAGTTTAATAACAGTATACTCCCTAGATTAGTGGCTTTCAAGCTTTACTAAGCTTCAAAATCACCTGGAAGGTTTGTTAAAATACAGATTGCTCATGGGGATTCTGATTCTACTTAGGTGGGAGCTGAGAATCTGTATTTCTAGCAGGTACCCAGGTGATGCTAGTGTTGCCATCCAGGGGCCATGCTTTTGAGAACAACTGCTCTAGATCACAGGTTGACAATATTTTTGTAAATAAAGCTTTACTGGAACACAGGCACACATGTGCTGCTTATCTGTGGCTGTTTTCATACCACAACTTAGGGTAGTGTTGAGTTGTTGCAGCAAATACTGTGTATCTTACAAGCCAAGTTACTTAGTATCTGCCCCTTTACAAAAGAAGTTTGCTGACCCCTGTTAGATAATTCTTGTCCTATCCTCTGTATTTTGCTTTTACTTGAGCCAAACTGGCAAAAGAGGGATTGCTACTCCAGAGGCTACTTTTTGTTTATATTAGCTACATTGAAGTATGACACTTCTTCTGATTGGATTTAGTGAGGGATAGAGTTTTGACATACTCCAGTTATCACCAGCAAAACAACTATTTACATTGTTTTCTTGAGATATTATCATCTCTAATCCATGTTGCTTGTATTTCCTTTTTGAAGGAATCTACCTTACTGAGACTTGGCGTTTCCTGTTTCCAACTAGCTATAAGAGTTTTGTTTGGTTAGCATTTGTATGATATATATCTTCCATCATGATACTTACAAACATCCTGCATTCTTTAAAGTGTGTCTCATAATCAGTGTATATTCGGGTTTTGTGTTTTCATCTTATCTGTTAGTCTTAGTAAGTGGAATTTGCAGTCCATTTACATTTAATGTAATTAGTGCTACGTTTGGTTTCTATTATATATTTTACTATTTGCTGGTGTATGTGACCCACCTGCTTTAAGTACCTTTTTCTTTTTGCTATTATTTTCTTTTGAATTAACTTTTATGATTCATTTTATCCTTTATTACTCTAGTTATAGATTCTTGTGCTAGGAATGATAACATGCATCATTGACTTGTTATATCCTCTATCAATCTGCTATTTACATAAACTTTTACTAAAGATTATAATCTGCACTGTTGACTATTTCTAGAACCTTAGAAGGCTTTAATGCCATTTACTTGCTGCATTTGATTATTTTAATTTTACATTTGTTGAACCATATAGACACAAATGTAGTATTACTAGTATCGATTGGTCCTGTCACTATTAAGTGAATATTTATATTATCACATTTACCATTTTCTTGACTGATCATTTTTCTTTAACAATTTCATATTTCCCTATGGGATCTAGGTGGTTTTTTTTTTTTTTTTTTTTTTTAACAGTCTGAAGAACACTCTTTACTATTTTCTTGTAGGTACTATTTCTTGATAGTACGTTCCCTGTTTTTTTTTTTTTTTCTGATGAAATATTTTACTTTAAACTTGAAAGATATTTTCATTAGATATGAAAGTCTAGATTGCCTATTGTAGCATGTTAAAAATGTCATTTTATGTCTTCAGGCTTCTCACTTTTTTTTTAAGAAGTTAGTGAGGCTTATAGAGAGTAATATGTCTTTTTTAAAAAATGTGTTGCTAAAGGTTTTTCTTTCTGGTTTCCAGCATTCTTACTATGATTCATTTTCCTAGGATTTGTCTTTTTTTAAAAAAATTATTATACTTTAAGTTCTAGGGTACATGTGCATAACGTTCAGGTTTGTTACATATGTATACTTGTGCCATGTTGGTGTGCTACACCCATCAACTTGTCAGCACCCATCAACCAGTCATTTACATCAGGTATAACTCCCAATGCAATCCCTCCCCCTTCCCCCCTCCCCATAATAGGCCCCGGTGTGTGATGTTCCCATTCCCGAGTCCAAGTGATCTCATTGTTCAGTTGCCACCTGTGAGTGAGAACATATGGTGTTTGGTTTTCTGTTCTTGTGATAGTTTGCTGAGAATGATGGTTTCCAGCTGCATCCGTGTCCCTACAAAGGACACAAACTCATCCTTTTTTATGGCTGCATAGTATTCCATGGTGTATATATGTGACATTTTCTTAATCCAGTCTGTCACTGATGGACATTTGGGTTGATTCCAAGTCTTTGCTATTGTGAGTAGTGCTGCAATGAACATACATGTGCATGTGTCTTTACAGCAGCATGATTTATAATCCTCTGGGTATATACCCAGTAATGGGATGGGTGGGTCATATGGTACTTCTAGTTCTAGATCCCTGAGGAATCGCCATACTGTTTTCCACAATGGTTGTACTAGTTTACAATCCCACCAACAGTGTAAAAGTGTTCCTATTTCTCCACATCCTCTCCAGCACCTGTTGTTTCCTTTTTAATGATTGCCATTCTAACTG